GGATTCTTGGTGTTATTCGTGGGTGTTATAAATCGTTGACTAATATGCTCTTCCAAGTGGGAAATAAACAAATAGGAAGCGCAGATCAGCTTAGACAATAGGTAAAAGGATATCAAGGAAAATCAAATTAGGATAATCACTGGATGTAGCCCCGCCAATGAATAGCATTGCCAAGGTAAAACAGCGGTAAATGAGTATCTGTTGGAAATATTTGCGATGGTTGACAAAGAGTGTTAGACAGCGGTTTCATCCTGTTTGGGACTCTTCAGCAATGCATACGTTTTGTGCCCCTGTCAGGACTCGAACCGCAAACCTTTGGGTAGGGAATTCAAACCCTTGAGCCAAACGGTTGACGGCCGTCCCTTTGCACGAATGGTTCAATAAATTCAGAGTATGGATCTTGCATTAACCCATTCGATTGTTCAGAGGCACCAGCCACTCTTGAAGGTCTAAGGTTTGGGTTTCACTCCTTGGGAGATCGGTAATTACCCACGAGGTAAATGCATTCAGATGGGACGGAAATGTTTGCGATCACCGACAAATTTTCACGGTTTGAGTCCTGACAGGGACACAAAAGGTACGCTTTGCTGACGGGTGCCAAACAGGACGAAACAAGTGTCCAGTGCTCTTTATCAATCATCACAAACATTTCCATCTCATTAGAATGCATTTCCTGATGGGGAATTACCGATCACCCAAGACCATCAAGAGTAGCTTTTGCCTGTGAAAAATCGAATGGGCTAATCCAAACGTACTGCTCTGAGCATTGGGGCGTTTACAAACTCCGGTTTCTAATTCACAAACTACCGAAATTACGGCAATAAGAAAATAAAATCCATGAACCAGTATTCTTCAACATTTATGAACGCTTTTGATAACCCAATTGTTCATTGTCCTTCACGATGTGTAATCAACTTTCCCGGGACTGGTAACAATAGATGACCTTCACTTCACTATGATCTCATAGCAGGACAATGATCATCTGGTCTTGCTTGAGCGCTTCGCCATTCTGCTATTGATCCCAATGTACCAGGCACCGTGCATGCATGACTGGTGTTCAGTTCCTTCCATCTGAGCTTGTCTAACGGTCATTTGAACATTCTCTCGTGTGATCGGTGAATCAATAATGACAATGAACGATATTCAAGTGTCGGCCAGAAATGACGGTTAACTGAAGTGCAACAAACCAGAACCTGTCATCACCTAGAAAGTAATTTAACGCATGAACAGAAATAAAGTACATCGCCACAGTGCTTAACTTTCCACAGAGGCAAACCTTTAGTGTAGCAAACTTTTTGAGGGTAGTGTTGTCAGAAGTTAACAGGGCGTCTTGACACCTTCTATTTGTTTATGAATTCGCTACTCACCACATTTGTTGTTTCATAGTCTACGGTCTTTCGAGACTCTCCGCTGTGTATATGGATGAGTCTCTGTCGCGTACGAACACACGAATAAGAGAAATGTCCATTTTTGGTTGAGTAAAAACCAACCCGCATGGCTAAATAAAGGAACGATTAGGTCACGCACTAGTGCGGTGGGTTCACACTGTGAATGTGACCGAGGCATTCCGTCCCCTGTATCGGGTTCGTGGTAGAAAAGCCAGGCAGGTTCGATATTATGTGCTTGCCACAGTGGAAATGGTAGGAATTCGTCTGCAGATCCCCTCTCTGTGAGCCCCAAAACAATTTGTGCAGGCACCTAAGCTCCTCTGGCCCACCTCTCACACACCCCAAATTCCGATTAGTCCCAACAATCGAATGACCTAAACTTATATGATCATTGATGATTTCCCATCCGGTCCGAAGGCAAAATTAGCCCCAGTTAACATATGCTGTTAATTTTCCATTTCCCAAAACAATTTTTTTTATAGTTGAATAATGATACACATATATAAACAGCGAGATAATTATTGTGAAAACGAACTTGTTCACCACTCTTTGTTCTATTCGAAATGTGCTCTGTGGGACTCTTTAAACAAATGACTGATATTTTACTGTGCGCTACTGACCTATGTTTAGACTGAAAGCAAATTTGTTCAAGCAGTTTTAGTGAACCGCAAGTTTATCTATTCAAATCTGGATTTGGTTGTTCTGTCTGTACACATTCTCGATTTCCCGTGACCGTGCGCATTATCTTTTCGGACATCCGGTGCATCGATCAGATTATTCCCTACTCAATAGAATTGCCAGTTTGGTAGAAAAAAATATCAACTACCTGTGTTCATCAGGTTTTAAATCAAATAAAACATACAAATTATAATGAACAAAAAAATTATTCCGTTTGATTTCATTTTCGTTCTGCGTGACGCCTCGTTCATCGCATCTATTGCCTAGGTTTCTATAAATAATCCATCAGAAGGTTTTGTTACCAAAGCGTTCACAAATGGTTTCTTTGGAAATGGAAATCTACTTTGTGATGACAATGTTTGTGATGACCGACAAACAGCACTGGATGGCTTTTTCGTGTTGTTGGGGACTCGTCAGCAGTGCGTACCTTTTCTGTCCCTGTCAAGACTCGAATCGCAAACTATAAGGTCGGAACTTCACACCCTTGTCTCTGAGTTACACGGGCGATGGTTATCACCTTGTGCGAATGGCTCAATTGGTTTAGACGGTGAATGTTTAGATAAGCTTATTCGTGTTTTTTTTACGGGCACCAGGTATTGTTGATGATGACAAGTCCCGAAACAGGACGAAACAGCTGTTCAGTGCTCTTTTTCCGCCACCACCAAGATTTCCATCGCATTTAGATCCACTTTCACCGATGTAGAATTAAGAATCTCCCAAGGAGTGAAACCCACACTCAAGATCACCAAAAGCGCTTGGGACCTGTGAAAAAAACGATGGGAATGTTTTCATAACCAGGGGCAGCATAGAAACAGTTGTTATCCATCTGAAGTGGCGTTGATTTTAAGAATGACATCTGGTTTTATTCTAGTGTCACCCCCATCCAACTGAATCTCTCAGGCGTAACATACACAGTGGAAAAATGCTGATATTAGAATACACAAACAATCGTAGTTTGCTCCCCGTAAACTTCAGTGCATCTCACATCCGGTGAAAAGCCTGTAATACATTCCCTACTTCAAATACGACATTTACCACGATTAGATCAACGTTCTCGAATGGAACACATATCCGAAGCCTTCATTGATTATGGCTTTATAGACTACAAACAGAATGAAAACATTTTGTATACCACCTACCGTAAAAAGGGAATATACTACCTTAGGATAGTGGACAGTTGCGTGTTTTCCGCTTATCTAAATTCGCTTGGGTGAACGTAATTCCCGAGAGGTGTGCGTTCAATTAAACACTTCTATATTTCGTTTTGTTTTCCACAATTTTTATTTCTAAAGACGAACAATAGTTCACCATTCTTTGTGTGCAAATTAAATTTTTTTCTTCACCATTTGGTGTGTTTTAAATGGACTTTTGTGCAGTCAAAGTGGCAGTAGCATGACGCGCCACTGTAGGAACCAATATTATCTCAAATCGGATAATCAGCTCATCACGCAAAATGGAATTGGTCACGCAATTTTTTGATTACGACAAGATCTCAATCAGAAGAGTCTTTTTGCGTCCCAGCTGTGCGGATTTGATTCTTTCAAACATGTGTGGTTGATTTTGTGATACATATGTTTCTGTCACAGGCAACACCGTTTGTTGTAGTTCCAACGTTCCGTGCTCCCATCGAGTTTCGTGTTGTGCACTGTGAACATACAATCCCACAGAGATGGTTCTGCAACTGTATCCACATTGATTGCAGTTGCGCTGACGCCCAATGCAGTCGTTTGTCGTTAACTGTCCTCATACGTGCGTGATCGTTCTTTCCCACTTTACGTCTATTTCGTCTCAAAAGCTGTCCGCCTCCTCTAATCGAATGGACGTCCAATGTACAGGAGCAAGGCACCCAAACCACGTGAACTGCTATCACACTGAATGCCAGCATAGCAGCATACGTTTATCACACGCTAGCAAAGGCTTTCTCACAGTGTATTGTTTAACGCCATCGGAAATCACAGGTTGTTTCTGTTTTTTCTTTTCGCCATACCCCAGAGTGTATTACTACTAGTCGAACTGGATATATCAACTCATCCTATGGGGACGAAAACCTGCCCGAATAATTCATCATTCCGTTGAACGGGTAAATAGGTCTTTTCGTGTCAGTTTACTTGAGATCGCGGATACAGTTTCACATAATTTCCTTTTGTCTATGCATACTCCTTCAGGTTCATATCATCCCGAATAGAACCCTGAAGAAAGCTTTCGGATCGCGCGTCATAAACACTTGCATCTTTGCCCGAAATCAGCAGCTGATTGGTTCGCTGTTTAGGTCTTAAAACATTGGTAAAACCCGCTTCTGAAAAGTCTCCAAAGGGATCTTCACAATAATCGGGACGGGACGCGTGTGTGCTAGTGATATCTGCCCAAAGACACACTGAAAGTAGGAGATCCGTGAACCATTCCATTCCGCATATCAGAAAAGCTGAGAAAAATCCCACTTTGGTAAAACAACGAGCCGTGTTATCTATCAGAAGCAAGCAACGTTAAATGTTTCCGTTTGGATTGAGTTTTTTATCAATTTGCGGTTTTTATGTATATTCGTTTATTGTCCAATTTCGTGGTTGCAATAACTCTGTCGATTAGTACAGCTCGATTAAAATGTCCTCTGCGTGCACATTGCTTATATTTCACTTTGGAAAGATTTTTTTCTTGTTGGAACTGAAACGGGCTTGGCTCATTTATTTCAACGTGACATAATGATTACTGGTAATCTTCCTAGTTTATGGAGAAGAACATTAATATTTTTTCTGAATATTGTTGATTACTTTGTTGACAGTAAAAATAAACGAAACATGAATAAACAGTGCAAAACCACCCTTACCTCGGTCTTTATGCTCAGTCCTATATTGCTTAATGTAAGCGTAAAATGTGACATGAAATTGGCTATGTTTAAAGACGTGACAAAATCAGTTCGAAATCGCACCCTTACTGGGT